TATCTTATTTTCTGATATTAAGTTTTCTATTAGTAAATATTTCAGAAGTATATTCATAGCCAAAACGTTTCCAAATGAGAAGATTCTTGCCGAGGGTTATGAGGAGGTCCCCTTCTTTCTACTTCTATGTATGTGTGAGAGCAGTTTGTCTGCTGACAGTAGCTGTTGATGATTCCAATAAAGTTTGTCTCCATAAGGCTGTGATCTTCTGAGTTCGTATTCTGGCTTTTTGTCGTAGGGCTGTGACAGAAAACACATTATGTCGGAAACAACTTAACTAAACCATAGGGGTAGGAATAACTACTGTTATCATTGAGATGCCATCATCAACAATTCAGAGAAACAATTCAAAAACCTTCAATTTGTATTATTTGAACAACCTTATTTGATAATTGCAACAAGTGGCTCTTGGAGGTCCTTAAGTGCGCCACCCAAACAACTTATGGTCAACACATAATTTAATAAAAAAGAAAGGAAATACCCTGGCTGTATCGCAGGTCCATTACGGGCAACACAGGTCGACTAACCTTGCACAGACACTAAAACTATTCAAAATGATCACTCTACCTACGTTTTTTAGACTGTGTGAGGAAGCCTGAGTACCAGGAGAGAACAGACAGAAGAATTTGGAGAACATGGCAACTCTGTGCAGAAGATCCCAGACACCGATTTCAACCAATGAGTGCAAACTCTGCCATAAACCAGAAGGAACCAGATGGAGGAGGGAAAGCAGCTGATGGAAAGCTACCAGTCAGCCAATGGACCAATGGGAATGGATATCAGAAGTTCAAATAATTGCAAAATTCATAGGAACTTTTAAGGCAAAGTATTGATAAGCAAATGTAAAACTTAAGAGCCTGGGTCTCACACTCTGGAACATTATGTGATAGAGGTAGACTGATACATCAGCTGGCTGAAATCTTTGTGCTTTTTCTCTGGTACTTGTTTTAGCCAATGCGTGCATGCATTTACAGATTAACTGGTGCATTCAGCAGCTATGCATGCAATCATGTCAAGCATGTTTATTGCAATCCACTGTTTAAGTTTTGTTGAATATATATATATATATATATATATT